GAAGTTCATTGCAGAGGAAAGTTCCACTCAGAAAAGTGCAAGTTGTTGAAAATCTGCTTCACTTCATTCCTTGGGTCTCCAACTTAAGAGCATCATGTGATTGCAGTGAACTATCACCATAGTGAGGCAGCAGGCTTCTGGGTCCAGAGGCTGCAGGCTTGCCCTCAGGACAGCCTCCATAGTGCAGTAGCTCAATAGAGACCACATGGCAGCTCCCTCCTGCTCAGGCTGGGTCAGCTCTGGTGCTGTGTGTGTGTGTGTGTGTGTGTGTGTGTTTTGTGTGTGTGTGTTTGTGTGTGTGTGCGAGCGTGTGTGCATGTTCATGTATCTGTGTGTGGGGGTCAGAGATAGACTTCAGACATCATTCCTCAGGCACAATCACCTTGTTTTTGGAGACTGGGTCCCTCTAGGACCTTCGGCTCACATTCCTCAGACACAATCACCTTGTTTTTGGAGACTGGGTCCCTCTAGGACCTTCGGCTCACTGATTCGGCTAGTCTGACTCTTCAGTGAGCCCTAGGGATCCAGCGCTGGGATTACATGTGCACACCATCATGCCGTGAGCTCTGGAGATGGAATTCAGGACTTCTTCACACCCTAAGCCACCTCAATAGACTACAGCTTGAGATTTCTGTACCTGCCTACCCTCAAGTCTGTGGTTAGAGAGGATGCTCTAGCTTCGGCAGCTTTTATGGGAAGATATAGAGCTCTCCAGGAGAAAATAACAGGGTCCCCTAGAAGCTTCTAGGTCTGTGAGACCAGACAAGCTGGGACAGCACCCCTGGGGGCCTGATATCTGAACTGGGAAGGGCACCTCACTCAGGTATCTGCTTCTATGCTTCCTTCCTCTTTGGCCCATGCCATCTCTGGTAGTTCCTAAGTCATATTTGTCTGAATTGCTCATGAGGAAGAGCTGTCCCACCCTGCCACCTGGGTGACAGGTATGCTTTGCATCCCAGGCATGTGCTGCACGGATGCCCCACCCTGGGTTGAGAAGGAGCTAAGAGGAAGCACCTGAGGCTCCAGGAACAGACATGCCAGGGCAGCGCCCTCTGGTCCCACCTTTCCTGACTTGCTCTGGGGACTCAGCACCTGTTTCTCCTTATCTATAAAAGCCCAGACGGCACTATACTTCCTGGTGGTGCCTTGGAGTGCTGGTAATGTTTGCAGGCACAGAGATACACAGGGCACTGGCTTGGGCTCTCCCTTCCATGCCAGCCCCAACTTTATCTTCAGGCATTTCTCTCTCCAAATGGTGGGTAGTCACACCATTGCTATGACTATGGGCATTTGTCCAGCATGACTGAGACACAGCAGGGTAATTACAAGAGCCACGCACACCCTGGGCACGGTGAACCAGTGACAACCAATACAGCTGTTTGTCTGTGGCCTCAGCCCTCCTCTAGCCTAGCCTCCTCAACATCAGCACTCGTGGCCATTAATATGCTGGCCCATGCACTCGTCACAGCTTATAGTGACCTCAAGAGGGCTATAGTCTGAGCCTCAATGATGAACATAAACTTGTCTTTTCTGAAACAAGACAACTGCATCCCAGAGTTGTTTATCTAAATCTCCTGATTCTAATCAGAGGAAGGAATGCCACAACATGATGTCACCAGAGTCTCATGGGAGACCTGGCCTGGAGCCTATCTCCTAATGGGTGCCATGTCTTTACAAGTGCATGTGGCATTTTACTGAGTGACTTCCCTCCAGAATTCTCTGGAAGTTTCCAGAGGCTTTCAGATCACAATCAGGGAAAAGAATGCAGTAAGAAGCCATCAAACCCCACAGCGACCTTGGAGAAGAAATGGCTCAGCCTGTCTCCCGAGAGTCTGTCACAAAGGCATGCAACTTACTTGGGAGCCGCTCTTCCTAAGATGTGGCTTAGGAATGCTGCAAGTGGACTTGGGAGACAGCTCAGTGGGCAGAAGCTGACTGCACAAGCATGAGGGGCTGGGTTTGGAGGCCAAGCACTCACTTAGAGAGCTCTGGTGTGGCACTGTGCACCTACAATACCAGTGCTGGGAAGGCTAAGATGCAAGTGTTCACTGGCTAGCTGAATTAGTAAGCTTTGTGCTCCATGGGGGAATGTGTCTCCAAACATAAGGGGGACAGGTACTGGGGAAGGCACTCCGTGATGGGCTCTGGGCCTCTGCACATGCACACACACAAACACCTATGCATACATGCATACATGCACATACATATACATACATAATACACAAAAGTGCAGCAAGTGACAGTGGCATTTAAAGGAAAGAAGGGGCAGTAAGATATGAAGCAGAGAACTCTGGGTGGACCTCACCTTGACCTCACTTACCATGTACTGGGCTAGCTGAACTCCCAGAAAGGCACTTTCTTTCTTTCTTTTCTTTCTTTCTTTCTTTTTTTTTTTCCCCCAAGACAGGGTTTCTTTGTGGCTTTGGAGGCTGTCCTGGAACTAGCTCTTGTAGACCAGGCTGGCCTTGAACTCAGCGAGATCTGCCTGCCTCTGCCTCTGCCTCCCGAGTGCTGGGATTAAAGGCGTGCACCACCACCGCCCAGCTCTGAAAGGCACTTTCTTATGCAGCCTACTTTTTAGGCATGAAACGGGTGAAGTTAGTGACACTGAGTGACCGAAGTCCACATGTCACTCATCATAGGCAGAGCTGGGCAGAAGGATTGTTCAGCCCAGCTGGGCCCCCGTGCCTGACTCCCGTGCAGTGTGCTGCCTTCGTGGATTTTGTTCAAGTTCACAGACAGACCAAACAACTTGGTGTTAACAAAAAAGAGGGGTCTGGATGGGTTCGAGCCTTGGACTGACTTAGGAAAAGAACTCTGACAAATTGAGGGACTGCTTCTGCATTTCACACCCACTCACAGCATGCTCTCCTTCACAGGAAAAATCACCGAAAGATGTCAACAAGAAGGAAACATTTTATTTTTAGAAAATTGGTTTTATGTGTATGAGTGTTTGTATACATGTATGTTTGTGTACCCTATGTGTGCCTGGTGCCATGAATCTAAGCTTCTTGAGTATTTTCTGTGTGCCATGTGAGGTTTAAATAATGTCTTTGAGCCTAAATGGGTGGAGATACTTTAGAAGGCTGAACTGAATGTCAGGATACTGAAGTTTTATGATCTTACTGCTATGATGAAATCAAGATGATGAAGAAATGCCTTTCATAGCAACGGAAATAGTCTGAGAAATGCAAGCATCTTGGCAGGGTGAACTGTTAATCTTGTGACTTTCGTAAACTGTGATCATGTGTTTCTCCAAATTACAAAATCTGTACATGCCCTTTGATCCCAGTCATAGGATCCAAATGAGGTTCGTGTGTGTTCATGTGTGTGAATGCATATGCGTGTGCATGTGTGTGCGCATGTGTGTGTATGTGTCTGTGTTGTAAAGACAACAGAATCCACTTAAAGGGGTAAGTGACCGAGCAGGAGGAAATGGTCTAGAGAGAGGCCTGTTTTCATCCCTGGTAGCTCCTGGCCTCTCTGAGTGTGGTCCGATTATCTTCCTGGCACATGGGGACTGGGTTTGGGAGGCTCAGCTCCCAGTGCCTTCACAGTGCTCTGATTTCGGTAAGGATAGGTGTGAACTTGCAGAGAATGCTGAGGGACAGGGGTATCTTTAGAAACATAGCGTTTCCTGAGGAGGTGTCAGCAAAGCTGTCTGCATGTTGTCAGTGCTGACATGGGATTCATGAGGCTGGAGGCCAAGTACAAGGTGAGAGACAATAACACTCAATGTCACAGTGTCCACCAAGTGATCAGTGATAGAGACAGCTGTGAAAGCAGATAGGTGAGCAGAGTTCTAACACACACACACACACACACACACACACACACACACACGACCCATAAAAGATTAATCAGAACAAGAATCAATAACTTCTCAAGGACTGAGAAGAGATGCCTTGTTCTGTGATGTGTTGGGCAGTTTATCATGGTTAGCCACATGGAGATTTATGGAAAATCCATAGTTAGAACCAAA